GCTGTATTAAACACTGACTGGAAAAAAATAAACCCAAAAATGTGGATTTCTCATTCAATAATAAACTTGGTTATAGCTATAAAACATAACAAAACAGAAATTTAATAAGTTGCTGAATGAGGAAAACAGATAAAAGCAGTAAAAGATGATTTTTCAATGTAAAACTATTATTAATTTGTTATTATAATTAGAATCTATTTGCATTTAGAATTTATGACTTTTCTCTAATTCTTTAAGTTTTGCTTCTTTCTTGTTGGTTCTGAAGCAGCCCCCCATCCCTCCCCCCTCCCCTACTGAGTCAGACCAGGAGTTCTGCTCACGTCTTTTTTTCCCCCTTCGTCCTGAACGTTTTTGCTGCTTATCAAATATCTTTGAGCCTCGGTCAGAAAAAAAGACTGGAGGATTTTAAATTTCTGGCCCGAGAGAAGGAGTTGTTTTTTTTTTTATGGGACGTGCTTCCCATGCTTCCGCCTTGCGACGTGGCGTGGCTCGCATCAAATCAGACCTTCGTTTAAAATTTTTTAATTATCTATCATAACTTCGGATCTACTTGGCCTAACAACACAATTTCAAAACTGCTTTAAAATTCTAAGTCTCTACTTTTCACTTGAGGGTCTCAGAGAGGGCAAATCTTTACAGGTAGTTTTTTTTCTTCCTAAACTTTATTCAGGTCAGCCAGCAATGACAACGCTCTGTGGGTGACATAAACGGCTCTGCGACATGGCGAGGGACGCATAAATCGCGCGACACAACAAATCGATAATGAAATTTGTTGCCAACGCTTTTAATAATCGATTTTTATCAATTCGTTGTTGCAGCCCTAATCTCATCTAGATCAAACTTTTCAAGATGACCAAGTCTGGATAACGAGCACTCCTTATTAAACTGCATGTCCCAATGAATGCTAGGAAAAACTAGTAGACTATTTTATAACCAGCGATAACACATTTCCTACACAAAAATGAACAAGCGACATATATTCCATGTGTTTTCAAATTATAACTTTATTTTAAACTTTAAATGTCAACCTTGAAACAAAAAACCCACAGTCAGTCATCTTCTGAAAATGAAGACGTATACCACCAAATGAAAATGAAGACGTACGGCCGACATTCTCACAGAAAGAGAGAACGACTGGACATGCAGCATGGCAGGTAATTATCAGAAACTATTTCTGAACAATGCTCTTTAGACTGTAAATATGAAGTTTCCAATTAAAGTTGAAATTATATTTTGTTTTGTTTTTTACATTTTGACAGCTATCGAGAGGACTGATTCGTTTACATAAGGAATTATATTTATTTGACAAGTTGGAATTTAAATCCCATTTGTTCCTGAAATCTTCCCACAAACTGCTGGGATCAGAATAATCCAGACTTTTTTTTAAATCAAACTTATTCAAAACAAATTAAGTTTTGAACACAAACTGAGGGTTTGATCCAGATTAAACCTGGACTTTATTTGTCACTGACCTCTCCTTGAGCACGTGAGTGAGGTTGCTAAGGGTTGTGCCATCAATTTTTCTGCACACCTTAACAACCACAAAACACTTTGTACTTCTTCTTATGTTTAAAGTCCAAAACAGAAAATAAAGTTAAAAGTAAGAGACTCAATAAAGCAATGATAAACTGTCATAAAAGTGCAATCAACATCAAAACCGCATAGTGTTTGATAAAAACATATAGCCTCTGATGAGCCTTTCTACAAACTGAATATGAGTGTGTCTTAATAATCAACCTGTTGACACCCTTTGTCCCCAGGTGTTTGTAATGACTCAGAACTTTGATAAACATAGGTGATGTGACTGTTACCTCTGTCCTAAAGACCACAATAAAACAGAGAGGACACACAACTGCTGCTGCTTGTCACCATTACCAGCACAACTGATGGTGCAATATTTAAAGGGATCCATGATTAGTTGTAACATTAGACTTTATTTGATAAACATATAGTTTAACTGTAAAATAAAGACTATAAAAATACTGTAGGCTGTTAAGTTTTGGAAATTTAAAAAAATATTTTTTAACACGGACGGAGCCATTTTATTTACAGGCAAAGCATTCTGGGCAAATGATGACATGGATAGGTCCTCAGTGGGAGGCTGCTAGCGAGCTATATCCACCCTGAAAATTAATCTTGGGCAATATCTGATGATTGACTCTTTTAAATGAAACCAGAGAGGAGAAGATAGAAATGATTAAGTCTACAACTGAAAATATGGATGGAGGACAACAGAGCTGCTTCATTGAAGAAGAACCTCAGCTTAGCCTGTTAGCTTTAGCGCTAGTGCCAACGCTACATTGCCTTATATACAGTATATTAGCTCAGCGCTAGCGCAACAAACTAACAAGCTAAACTGTTGTCCTCCATCCATATTTTCAGTTACAGGCTGAGTCACTTCTACCTTCTCCTCTCTGTCAACGCTCTCTGGTTTCATTTAAGAGTCGATCATCAGATATTGTCCAAGATTAACCTTCAGGGTGGCTATAGTTCGCTAGCAGCCTCGCACCGAGGATCTTTCCACGTCATCATTTACCCAGAATGCTTGTGTGTAAATAAAATGGCCCCATCTGTATAATATATTTTTAAACTTTTAGTTTAAAAATGATAAAAACTAAACATCCTACAGTATTTTTACAGTATTTATTTTACAGTTAAAATATATGCTTATTAAATAAAGTCTAATGTTACAACTAATCATGGATCCCTTTAACAAAGAAATTGCATGTTTTCCTAATATTGCTAAGATCTTAACACGTAAAATAAACTTCAGCTCATAATAGGGACTTCTTACCCTCTGGTCCTCATTAGCCACTTGCTTCTTGCGCCTTTCAATGCTACCAGCAGAACTGCGACCTTTCTTCTTAAATCTTGGAACAAACTTTTCTTTAGCCAGCGGGTCAAAGCCCTGGAAGAGATGCGTATGACATAAACAGATAATGAGTCAGATTTATATCTTGAAGAAACAACTTTTAAACAAACAAACAAACAAACAAACAAACAAACAAACAAACAAACAAACAAACAAACAAACAAACACTGACCAGAGCCTGAACCCTGTCTTGGTGCCTCTGCTCAAAGGTAGCACCGTCAACCTGCCCGAGCGCTGTGGGGTCCAGGCTGATGAGCTCTGGCTGAATCTTCTCCAGCAGGGCTTTGACCTCCCACTCCTGCCTCTGCTTGGCACTGCGGTAAGGATTTGAGTCCAGGCCGTCAAAGTTAGGCTCACCTGCACCTGTGAAAGTGACATGATGGAGATACAGAATTCAAATTCAAATTCAAAAATACTTTATTGATCCCAGAGGGAAATTAGGTAAGAAGAAGAAGGGGAAAAAAGGGTAATTTAACACAAATGTAGGAGCAATTTGTCTTTGGTCGTGGATCATGGTCGTGGATTTTGGTGTGGTCACAACTCATCCATCTTTTCACAGATGTGAATAAAAATAAACAAACACCTACAAATGCCACAAAATATCCCATCTAAGTGAATTTGAAAACAGCTACTTGGCAGGTGTGTACAGACACGCTCTGCAGAGGAAGAAGGCAGCAATTTGAACCGACGGGTGTGTTTGCCCAGTTCCGACACCAGTGTGCCGTCATTGGATGGTGTTTGTTTCCTCTCCACGGAAAATGCTGACCCCTAAAATGTGCTGAGGTCAGCAAAATAAGAAACCAGAAAAACAAAAGCACAGAGGAAAGTATCTACAAAAACTGTCATGGAAAAGAGAATGTTTTAGGGCGTGGTTAAAATTTACCAAATTAGCCACATCTGAACTCAAGTGTACAAAAACACACAACAGATTCTATCATCTATTAAAGAAGAATAAGGCAAAAAAAAAAAGGATTAATTACATTTGAGGTTAGCAGAGGTGGGCTCCAGCCTGCTATAGCGCAAATCCGCTATTTGGGACCAAAATATTTCAATTGCACTTTAGCAGACTTACTAATTTTTACAATTCATAAGCGCATTTGCGCTTTCTAAAATTAAAATGCAGTACCACTAATAACTAATTATCTACCAGTCATCATTATCTTGAACAGCGGAAGGTATGGCTGTCAATGAATCACAACACTTATGATCTATCCAACAGCACCCCTCCCAGATAAACACACTTATTGGGAAGATATACATCCTTACTGACTGTCGCTTTGAGCCATGGTTCTGATTTCCCACAATGCTTTGTGTCTGCTTACGTAACAGGAAGGCAACAGCAAAAACAGTAAACGTTTGTAATCCATACTAAAATTTTGTATGGATTGATTTATTTTACTTTACAATCAGAGCTCCTTTTTAAAATAAATAAATCAATAAAGTTTAAACACTGGAGCACAAAAGCAATCGGCCAACGGTGTTAGAGACTCAGAAATGATTTAAAGATGTTGTGCTGGTGAAGACTGACATCTAGTGGTCAACTGGAGCAACTACATGGAAAATGTCCTAATCCAGGTAGAAAAGAAATCAAGAAGAAAAAATAAGTAGGTCCTCTGGATGGGTTCTTCTTTAGTGAAACGTTTTGTCTCTCCTCCAAGAGACTTCTTCAGTCTGATGAGTTTCAGGTGAACTGGGAAACTTTAAAATCCAATGGAAACATGAAAAACTATATAATCCAAGCTCTTTTTTTGAAGGGAAGATACTAGTTTCTTGTTCCCCGTGCTTTCGTTTCCTGTCAGTCCGTCATGTACCCAGAATGCATCGCTTCAGTTTTCCAATAAACAGTTTTAAAATAATTTTATTGATGCTTCTTTAATGAAAATTCTACAACAAACAAAAGAAAAAGACAAGAAGCAGCCGAACTAGCAACAACATGAGCCAAAGTTCTGTTACAGGAAATCAGATCCCCAGCAATCAGCGGTTGTAGGATTAAGCTGTACAAGGGTTCATACACCGCTAGTTGGCAGTATTGTGCGTATTGTACATGAATTGTCAGCTAGTAAGTGCCAAATTGAACTTGTGCTTTAAAATTAGCTACCGCTAATTTTTCTATGACATAAGCATTTTTGAAGTTGCGGACCTAAATATTTTCATAAGCGCTTTAGAAATTGCATAGCTAAATTTTTTATTAGCGCTGCCCACCACTGGAGGTTAGATGTGAAAAATGTAGAACCTGGTAAAGACCAAAGCTCATATTTATCAAACTTCCTCAAATGGGATTTTAGATAAAAGTGCTGATAATTTCTGAAATTTACTCCTACTTTCAAACTTACGTTTAAACGCAAGTTATCAAAACTCTTAAGCTTAAGAATCCCTTTTATTCTCCTGGTTATTTAAAACAGCTCCAGAGGTCTCTGAACTGGTTAAGAGTTGCCACTAGAGGTCTGAGATAACACTGAGACAAAGATCACAGCAATGTCCTCCTCAAGAATACTCTGCACCACCTGAGTGTGATTCTCAGTTAAACGTACAATTACAGACAGACCAGGGGTCTCATTTATAAAGGATTGCGTGGAAACCATACTAAAAGTGAGCGTACGGCCAAAAGGCGCAAATGGCGTACGCCAAAAAAAATTCAGATTTATAAAACAGTGCGTACGCATGTTTCTGCACATCTTTCCTTTATAAATCACAGCCGCACGTCAGAGTTTGCGCACGAGGTCCCGCCTCAGGTTCTACCCTCTACACGCCCACATTCAACCATAAACAGTCAATGCAAAGTACCTCATGAATGTTAAGATGTATTTAAATCAGTCAGCTGATCAATGTCAACAAAAGTGATTGGTTCAGACACGCTCCGTCGTGWGTCTGGAGGATGACAGGTGCTGACTGACAGCTGCTCACGTGAACAGAATGTCTGTAACTGACACAGATTTTCCCTCATTTTGCTTTAGTGTAATCTAACGATTTTTATAAGAAAATAAAAATAAAAAACCTCAGCTTCAAATTAATTTTCCATCAGAGCCTATAGGACGATAAAAACAATAAAAATTAAATAAAATAAGTCAGGTAAAATTAGGAATAAGTCCCCCGCTCTTCTTCTCGTCCTGTCCCCCTCCTGCCTGCTCCGTTACCTGCGGCAGACCCCCGCCCCGCGTGCGCGCACGCACACACACACACACACACATCCCCCCCGCGCGCGCGTGACAAACACGGACTGGATACACGCCCTGTGCGTACCAAAGCTTTTGCTGTCCTGCTGTTCTTATCGGGGAGGGGTCTGTGGGTCAGGGTCGTCTGAGGAGGAAGCAGATGAAGGGATTTGCGCACGGGAACTTTTATTTAAGATTTAAGTTTTTTTATTTCAAAGGTCCTCATGGCTCAGCAGCAGAAGCATAAAAATTACTGTTAAGAAAGCTGATGATAAAGTTGAATAAAAATCTAAGTCTGATTATCAAGTGATCTTGATGAAGTGTGGCTCTAATTCCTCACTTCACCATCTGTGTCACAGTCTCCCGTCTCCAAAATGAGCGTACGCATGGGTCAGAGCTGGCGTGAGGCACCGCACATTTTCACGTCAAGTTTGGATTTTATAAATCACAACCTTGGCATAAAAAGTGGCGTACGCATGTTTCTGGGGTCAAATTGTGCGTACMCCAGTTTTATAAATCCGACCCCAGGACTGAAAACCCAACAACAGCTACTGAAGCTGTAAAATCGCTACCCCCGTCGATCCATGCCAGTGCAATTTATTCTTTACGTGTCTTCCTCTGGCTTCATAAAATGAAAGACCATTTCACAGTTTTTTTGTGTACATGTGCATAGAGGAACCTTACTTTTCCAGGTCACAGGCCACTGAATAAAAAAAGAGCTTTAGTGGGAAACACTATTGGAATTGAGAAAATTTAACAAGAAGAGATTAGCTGATATTATTTTACAACGCTCACTTCAAGCACTAATAGATTTTGTGAAAACAGCCAGAGCTCCACCTTTATTCATTGTAAAATGATTTAGTCTAAAACTCAGTGGTGGGTGATAAACATTCCTTCAAGGTGTATTTATTTATGTCTTCATCATAAAACCCTAGAACTGAAAGGTAGTACTCTTCCTTTGGTCAATACTGCAAAATTCATTAGTAACTATTTCTACCGCTGAGACAGAATACTTTTTATAGGTTTTTAAATATTTAATTCAATCCACCTTTAATGAAAAGGCAAGTTAAAAAGGAAGAAATGGCTCTGCTCATTAATATGCTCACATTTACTGAATCTTGTGCGATTTTTGTCACATTTTCTCTCATACTGTAAAAAGCTGATAGCTCATTTGCAACAACTTTGATGACAGAGCTGTCCTCACCTCTTTATGTTGATGCACAGTTTCATTTAAAAGGCAGAAACAGCCTGACCAAAGCATGTCACAAGACATTTGATAAAAACCAAAGAAAATTAAATGTGTTAAAACACATAATATTTCTTCTAAATGTTTCGACACAAGACGCTTCTCACACATTTGTTTGTACACTGTCGAGGCAACTATTAAAAATAAATAAATAAGCCTGACCTGATTTTACCTCATTTGCGCTACAGGAATCTGGGTTAACAATTATGAAACAACATTACATCCTCCATGAACAATAGGCGATGATCAGGGCACAAACAATCTACTGTTAGGCTGATGGTTCTCCTTCACATGTGAACAGACTGCGTTTATGTTCGTTAAACCTGTTTGTCCACCATGTTAGGCGGAGTTTACCTGAAACTCCTCAGAGTGAACAAGTCTCTTGGAGGAGAGATAAAACATTTCATTAAAGAACCCGTCCAGAGCACCTGCTTAATTATTTTTAACATTACATTCATATTTTTATTCTCTAGAAAAAGCTCAAAACACTAATATTTCCAGATCTCATCAAGTTCTAAACACTACAATTTTTGTACAGAGCCAAACATGAAAATTTACCCCAAAATATGGGATCGGGTGGTGATTTCGCTGCTTATATTGTCTGACCAAAAAACAAACAAACAAACAAAAAAAAAAACTCGTTTTCGTCATCGCTGAATGTAGTGTATAACTCTTCAATGATAGGCACTGACAGACTTCACGCCTGAGGTAAATTTGTATATCAATGTGTTTGTGAAAAGCCTGGGGGTCTTCCAGTGGACGTGGTTCTGTTTGTGTGTTTTGTACTGAGGTTAAGTTGATGGGTGCAGAGAGGCTGAGTAATCCTGTTAGGCTTTATTAAATAACACAAAACGATACACCCGATAATGATCTTTGCTCAACCTTCCTCATTCACAAGCGTACAGAAATGCGTGACTACTGTCTACAACCAGGCGAAACATAAAATACATGTAGAGGAGGAGGGAAACAGTAACACAGACAGAGGTACAGTAAAAGAAAATAGTTTGTGTAGCAGAAAGAGCAACTTCAGCTAAAAACGGTTTGCTGATCAATAAGCAGAATTTGTACATTGTATTATCATCTGAGCTGTGATGAAAAGAAAAATACTGTTAAATACCATCATACTGGTATAATTGTTAAATGTACTGTGATATAAATTGGGTCATACCGCCCAGCCCTAAATATGGTGAATATGTCTATTATTTCCATAACTAATGCTGAAGCTTTGGGATTAAACAAGTATCTACTTCTTCATACAAAAAAAAAATGTGTAGTGACACTTTTATTTATTTATTTGTAGGTTCTTCATCTATTGTTTTTCTCTTTTTTGCTTAAAATGATTGTCTGTATATAGTTAACATCTGAAATAAATTAAAACTAAACAAACAGACCTGGTATGAGCATGCTGGTAAAGCCATCTCCGTGTCCAACTCCGAGGACATCCTCAAAAGGACAAAACTGCTGTCCCCACACTGTTCCCAGAACCCTGTGAGCTATGTAGGGTTTAGAGACTGGAGTGCTCCACACGTCCCTGTACACCTGCAGGGAGAAACATATGAACATTTTTTTAAGGTTTTATGCATTTCCTGCCTGTAAACTGCAACATAAAAAAGACACAACGAAGTTCACAAATTTTAGATAAAAATAAAATAAGCTTTACTGTTACAGACTGTTTGTCTTATGACTGTGTGAATATTGTTTTGCATGTAACCTCAGAGCCACCTGCTGCTTTAACGGGATAATGATTTATATACAGGGTTGAAGAACTGATACCAAAAAGAGTGAGATAAAGTGATAAAGGACAAATATAGTTCAATAGTTGGCAGCATGAAGGCTCAGTGATGCACTGAAGCTCCACAGCAAGGAGATCCTGGGTCTAATCTCCAGTTCAGACCTGGGGTCTTTGTGAAGTTTACATGTACTCCTCAAGCTTGTGAGGGTTTTCTTTGGGTACTCTGACTCCTTCTCACAGTCCAAAAACATGCCAGTTAAACTGCCTGCAGGCCTCCCTTGCAAAAGATATCTGTGATCTCAGTGCGATTAACCTGGTTCAATAAAAGTCAATTAAATAGTTCAACTTTTAAAGTGAGGTTTTATAGAAAGGTTAGGAACAAACAATATCTTATCTGTTTTAGATAGCTTTGCTAGCAAACACAGTTTGTTGAAACAGAGTTGAATCCGGACCAGATTGACAAGCTAAAGTAAACAATTATTTAAATATAATTCTAAGGTTATTTCCAAGCTGAAATACAATATAAAGGTTTAGTAAACAATATTCACATGGACCGCAATGAATTTTTTGACACTGAAGTTGTTTTCAGACAATAGCAATCCCTGTGGTCTTGGTCCCTCTCGGACTAGATGTTTACTCATCAAGTCTGGTCAGATTTACATTTAATTTTTACCAACTAAAGGTCATTCAAAGAGCTATCCACAAAAGGTAATATAGCAATTTTTCACAATTAAAAAGTTTGAAACTTTTGCTTTAATAAAACAGATTTTTCTGAAATCTACAGCTACTTTTAAAAACTCAACATGACAAAATCAGCAGTAGAACGTTGACACTTCTTCTTTAAGTTGGCATAAAAATTAATAGAAACCACTTAAATTATTACCTAGACTCCCACCAGTCTGTTTTAACTTCTAGCAACAAAGCAGTGCTTATGATTCTGTGGGATTGTATCTTCAGATGAAAAATATTAGCTTAGCGCAGGGCTATTCAACTAAATTGCTCCGAGGGCCACAGTTACTGTAGGCCAACAGCTCAGGGGCCGAACATCCAGCAGTTATCATTATGTAAATAAACCAAGTTTTACAAAGATCTGTTACCTTTGAATTAGTTTATTTTGTTGTATTTAATCATGAATACAACATACAGAACCCTATAAAAGTAGTGAAAATTAAACAGGATCAAAATTAACACAGTACACCTCCTGTTTGACACAAATATTATTTTGACATCTCTGACTTGCCAAATATTTAAACCAATTTTATTTTTACTTTCATAATTTTATATTCAACTGCTTGTAATTTTAACTGTCTTGAGTGTTCATAGAAATGGTTTTTACCAGCTTCTAGCCAAGATTCTGACGTTTCTGTAGATACCAAACATTTCTTTGTTTGACTAAAAGACCTTATTGTAATTAAAGTAGAAAACTGGGGGTTTGGGCTGAAGGGATGAATGAACCAATTGGCGGGCCGAACTTTGGTCACTCGCGGGCCACAGGGCCGCTAGTTGAATAACCCCGGCTTAGCGTCTCAAACTAAATACCCAGACACATTTAAACAATATAAATTGAACTGAATCACATCCTATCCACACAAATAGATGTTTGATAAAAATCAAAATAAATTGCAGTGTGCGTCTGTGACAATGACCTGAATGACGTCCCCTGTGGCTGCAGACAGGAGTCCTCTTTGACTCAGAGACAAACATGAAGCTCCGGCAGGAAGGACGTAGGATTTAAGAGGTTTAAAGGCTCTGATGTCAAAGACTTTCATCTTTTTATCCAGTCCAGACGTTACCATGTATCTGTAAATAAAAGGATAATGGTGAGGATTACTGTTGTTTTTTTAGGGTCAGAAAAGACATGTTAACTGTTGCAGACTTTTACTCCGACTGGAAAACAACTGCAGCCTCATGAATCAACAGTGCGTGTGCCCTTTTCCACGCAAAACTCCAGATGTATCAAGACTGAAATGAATGTGGAAATGTGCAAACATCTTCTTGGAGCTGCGGCGCGCCCTGGGAGCGCAACACAGCAACGAGGAGCTGTGCACTGCACGTGCACATGCATGGCTCACACTGGGGTTCCACAGGTGCTTTCCAGAGGGAGCTGGCAGACCGATCAGGACTGTGCCAGTCCATGTTGAGCTGAGCCGAGCCGGAAGGAAAGGCCTCATCCGTAAATTTAAATCGCCAACATCATGTCACGTTATGAAAACTCTCCACTAACTCTCCACTGAGGCGCAGAGACTGCAAAGATAACATTTCCAAGCTCAGAATGGAGGACTGCGCCAGGTGTGCCCAGCAGCTTCACACACACAGACACACTTGTCCGCTGTGCGTGGGTAACACATTTTACACCCTTACTTACTTAGGAATTTTTCTCACTCTCATTATATTTAATTCATTATTTTTATCTGAATCTAGAAATAATTTCTGATCATGTAAATATGCTCATCACACACGCACCTGTTTAACATATGAAAATAAAGGCGTGTCAGGGGAAGTGTCTCAGTTCCACGTTTATTGAGATGTATAAAAGAAATGCAGTGTTTCCCCTACCATTATTCAGGCGGGGCAATCTATTTTTTAAAAGCTGCACTTTCTTTTAATAAATACAAAAAACAAGCATTTTTGAACTATTATTTTACTCTATTTGACCACTACTAATCATTTCAAGACCCCCAACGTAGCGCTTCATGGCCCCACCTTTATGAACCACTACTCTAATATAAGAAGTTCGTGCGACTCACGTGCCCGTCTTGTCCACAGCGACCGAGCGCACGCCTCCTTGGTGACAGAGCATCCTGACGAGGGGTTCTTTCTGGTTCGGTGACCAGAGGGTGACCGTGCCGTTAGGGTGGCCGAGGTGGATGATGGCGTTGTGAGGGTTCTGGCACATCACGTCGAGCCGGCCGGTCTTGGTGCAGATGGCTGCCACCTCCTTTCCAACCGACACGTCCAAGTACTGCAGGAAGCTGGTGGCACTCTGCAGACAGAAACGTGAACCAGGAAGAGTGAACGAGCTGCTCATTGATGGTAAAATGTTTAAAAAAAAATTTTTTACGTCAGCAGCAATCTAGTGGTCAACTGCTGAATGTATTTTAAAAAGCTTTGCTATAAACCAGTATGGTTCGAATATAAAACTGGGGAATCTTTTCTTAGAGAAACAGAGCCAGAATGTTTGCTCTTAATAGTTCTGTGAACCTCCTTCAATTTTCTGAAAAGTTGTTCAAAGTATGTTACATATTTGGAAACAATAGTGCAGTACTGCCTTCTTTGACAAGGAGTGGCCAGCTTATAACAAAACAAAACAAAATGAACTGTATTTAAAGTGTATCTTACCCCACTGTGAAAAGATAACTCCGCCCCAAGGGGAAATTTGAAAAATGCATCAAAGAGAGCGGAGGTGTGGCCAGGACAAGAGAACGTGACAGGCAGCTAGCATTAGCATAATTGATGCTACATGGAGAGTGACCACAGCGACGCAGATAGTTACATCTCTGAATGGTCTGAGGTGGAGGATTTTTCACCCCCCTCCTCACCAGAGGCAGAAAGAGACTTGATCAAGTCAGCTCAGTCTGGGACTGACTCGTGTTGGCTCCGTGGATCAGGACCTGGAGCGCTTTACCGCGCCCTCGGCTGAGCTGTCCGCCTCACACCACACCACGCCAGCCCCAGACAGAGGAGGTGGAGCGCTCCGACAGCCAGACAGAAAAAATAAAAAGCATACAACTGCAGCTGCTCACAAGATCGCTAGTTTAAATCAGGAATAAAAGTGTTGGGTCTTGTTTGACTGAAATTTGGTTCAGTTCGTCGTTCTGCGCC